TCCACTCATTTCTGTGCAGATAAACTTGAACTGTACCTTTTGGTATTCTCTGACGATGTTTTTGTAGTCTTGTAGCTTACAGAGGCCCTTGCACTATGGTAAACAGATGGCTGAAACAGAAAAAAAAAAAAAAAAAAAACCTGCAAGCTAATAAAAGCTAAAAAAACCTGCAAGCTAAAGCTAATAAATGCAACAGCTAGCACTGGGGCTTGGTAATACTATTTCTCTCACTGAACACGTCCATTATGCAACCTGAAAAGATTGCATCTTAACCTATAAAGGCTTTGCCTTTCAAGCAGGGCAACTTAATATGTGCTAAATAAAACACTTTATGAGATGAAGCTTTGGTAAAGCTTGAGGGGAAAATTTAATTTCTATCAGCTAAAGAAATACTTGTACAAGACAATATAAGTTCCTTTTGAAAACGTTTGACTTGGAGTAGAAGAGCAATTTCAGGGAAAAGGGGAAATTAATATGGAGAATTCATGTTGTTCACTTCTACATAACGTTCTAAAGGAGGAAGAATGAGATGAGGCAGTAGAAACTTGTATTTAAAAAAGAAGTTTTTCAATACAGAAAATAATCATCCTAGTGTACAAAAAGAAAAGTTGCAATCCTGGATTCCCAAGAACAGACACTAAGAGGCAGATAATAAGAATGAATGAAATTGTATTCTCAACCTACATCTGAGTACCTGGATCCAGAAAAGAGTTGTCTGCTACTGGGTGAGGTTTTAAGGTAAATCTGGTAAATCTGAAGAACCTGCATTTGGAAAAACTCAAAAAATAGCAAAATAAATCTCAGATTTTGGAGAAATGATTTCTGTGTAGTTTATTGTACAGAATATGATGCTCACTTTCAGAGCATCTATTGAATATTCTGTTCTTTTATCTTTTAACATGAATGACACTACTAAATACACAGTATACAATCTCTCATGAAAGAAAGATTGACTTTTTTGTCTTTTACATGCAATCTAAGCATTTAACTACTTTCTTCGCAAGTTAATTTATCTTCTAGACTTCTCTATAAAGAATAGAGGGGGCATGGAGATAAAGACTCTACTGTGGAAAAAATCCATTGATATCAAGTGTTCAGATAAGTTTTCAAAATACTTTGTTTTACATGCACCTCATGTAATGAACTTCATGGCATGCTTCATACATACAAACAGATTTCCAGATAGTGGTGAACTGCTAATTAGCAAGGGTGTAATCTGCACTGTGGGTGCTCTGTATCACACAAAACCAGACAAGCAAGACAGGAATGAAATCCAGAGTTCCAGCACAGCATTTAGCTGTCATAAGCATAAAAACCTCCTCCTCCTTCCTGCAATTCCTTTTACAGCATAGTCTTGCTATTCTGCAAAACTGAAACAGGTCTGAGAACAGAGGTGCTGTATTAAAAGTTTAATCACAGAATCACAGAATTTCTAGGTTGGAAGAGACCTCAAGATCATCGAGTCCAACCTCTAACCTAACACAAACAGTCCCCACTAAACCATATCCCTAAGCTCTACATCTAAATGTCTTTTAAAGACTTCCAGGGATGGTGACTCCACCACTTCCCTGGGCAGCCTGTTCCAGTGTCTAACAACCCTTTCGGTAAAGAAGTTCTTCCTAACATCCAACCTAAAACTCCCCTGGCTCAACTTTAGCCCATTCCCCCTCGTCCTGTCACCAGGCACGTGGGAGAACAGATTTAAGTGCCTTAACTATTCAGAAGTGACTCATCAGCACAAGATGAATGTAAGATGGTTCCATTGTCCAATGGAACAAACAGCATGCTACCATTTAATTACAGATCGTAGGTTCATACACAGACAGACAGGTATTTAAGCCACTAAATAAGACAGAATCAATTGCTTCTCGGCTTGCCCCTTGGCTGCTCCAGTAATTCGTCTCCAAGACAGATCCACAAAGAAGCTCTAGGAATCTCTGAATGCAGGGGGTTGCTCTCAAAAGGCTATAAATAAGAGACATCACAAGACTAGACACTTCTGCAAGATACAAAACTCCAGAACAATTTACTGGTGCTGCCAAAATCCAGCTCTTGCCTTTTTGTTAGATACTCTGAATAACACAACATATACCAAGTAATAACTATGTCTTCAGAGTCCCAGACTTGGCCAAATGCTGTGTAATGCAGATACAGTCAGTCATATCTAGAGGGAACTATAGCTAAGTATAGTAGAGTGGAACCATGATAGTCTGTGACACAGCTTCAGGATCAGAGAATGTTCCCTGCTCAACTGGTCCATGTTTCTAGAGCAACCACAGAAAGCAATTTAAGATTTCATAGTCATCCTTCCTTCCATAATTTCCTGGCTTCTAAATACATGCAAATTTGACATTCTTTTAAGACAGCTTTTTTAAGCATAACATATGTCTAGACAAAAAAAAAAAAAAAAAAAAAAAAAAAAAAAACACATTAGAATACAGACATTCAGAGATGAATAGCAGCTAAATGTGTTGATAAGAATTTAGATTTGCCTACAGCTTTGATATAAAGCCTATGCTTTGACATAAAAGTGTATCTGGCTCTACTTCATCATAAGCTTTCCTGGATCAAGAAGGAATATCATACAATTATCAAATCTTTAATGTCTTTCCACTACAGTTCAGCAACACCAACTGTTGTAAGAGGCAGGAAAATGTAGATACCTTTAACCTGTTCACAGTATGTCCCAAAGTCACTATATACAATTCTCCTTAATTTAATTAAAAAAATAATTAAAAAAAAAAAACTTCCATACTAATATTCCTCACACATACTCACTGTCTTTTTTTATTTTACTTTTAGTAATAAATTATATTCAATTCTGAGTATTTTGTTGTCCTTTGATATAGAGGAAAACTTCTCTTCTAAAGGTAAATTGTGATAATGGACTTCATAATGAATCCTACAGAAATAAACAAAGTAATCTAGTGGTTTCATTTCTGAGTTTTCTCATGCTTCTTATTTATATTAGCTAGCTTTTCCAGTTACGTTCTCTGTCTCTACAATCTTTTGTCTCCCTTTTCTTTTTCCACTACTCAGATCCTTTCTAGAATTGTGTCTTCTTTTGGTACATGGCAGAAGATGTTTCATAAACTGGGGAGTATAGTATTCTATTGGTATTCACATGGTTAAATCAAATAGTTTCAAAATTTGAGTTATAGCTACAATGAAACAGATTCCCTAAGCAGAAGTCTCAATGAAAATAAGTGATCATAATATATCATTATGCTAAGCTAAATGAGAGAAATGTCTCTGGTTTGAACACTGTAAGCTACTGAAGAAAACCCTTCCAAAGAAAGTTTCAGATGATTAATAAATGTATAGGGTTATCAGAGATTCACATATATTTCCTTAAAAGATAATTATGTCAAACTGTTTTTTATCTAAACAAGTGCCTACTTCTTCAGAGCCAATTATTTTTTTCCTTTGTATACTTTGGAATCTCTGAAATGACAATGACTTAGGTGATGGAAGATCTGTATAATCTTGTCACTGTCTAAATCAATGGAAGCTTTCCTGTGACTTCAAAAGAATTGTTAATCATAGAATTGTAGAATACCCTGAGTTGGAACAGACCCACAAGGATCAAGTCCAGATCCACAGAACCATCAAAAGAACACACCATATGTTCAAACCAAAAGGATCGTTAACCCATTTTTATCATCAAAATAGGATTTCACAGTACCTGTAAGTTTCTTATACTTGGAACCTTCTTTTACTCTAAGAAAAGCGCTTTCAGTCTATGTCCTTCACTTCTGCATCTTTAAAACCTTTCTTTTCCTACCAGACTCACCAATATTAAAATATTAATTAAAAGAGCAACCTATCACCCACTTGATTAAAGGAATACTACAAATGAACAATAAAGTATTGGAGAAATTTGGCAACCTCCTCTATTTTGTTTCAAGACTTTCTGTTTAGATGTACAGAACAGAATTTGTACTATCCTTTGCACCTTACCTATAGCTAAGCAAACTGCTGTATTTAAACTGCAAGCAACTAGTAACAGCCACAGCAGGATCCACCAGAGATAAATCAAGATGATTCCAAACATGAATACCTCCAGTAGCCAGAAAGGAAAGGAAAAGGACAAATATTTGGTCCATAGATTCTTTAAAATAAATAAATAATTCTTCCTCTTGCTACAGTCAGTGCACAGTGCTTCAGAAAACTGAAATTCTTTCATCAATTTACAGCTCTCTCCCATTTCTTCTGAAATTGAGATATGTTGGGGATGATGCATTCAGTCTCCAGAGAGAAGATAGATACTGTTCACACAGCACTTCTACTCACCAGTCCATGCAGCAGCAATGGTGTTGGCTTTGAAGAAAGCCAACTGTCCTGCTCTCCCAGCCAGAGGTAAAGAATTGCATTGGTGGCCACTAGAGGGAGGATTAGGAATATAGTAAATTGTGGGCAAAAGGCACCCATGATGAATCACGTGGGACAACCTACAAATCCCCCATCGCTGCCAATAGGCAACAATCACAGACACTGCTATGGGCTGGGAAGTATAATCCAATTGCTATCGCCTCCTACAGAGACTACCAGTATGTAACCTAAACTTTGGTGGCTGGAGGGTGGAAGGGCTGACTAGGATATATGAAGAATACCTACAAACACACACACGGACATATCTCTTTATTTATAGTTGCCTTATTTCCCTTTGGTTTATTAATTTCCTTACTTAAAACTTCTGGTGTCCTTTATCAAGAAAGCTCCTGTGAAAAGCAAACATCCCAGCTTCAAGAGAATCTCAGAAGAAGCCTCAGAAGAGACACACTGTGCCAAGATACACTGTATTTAACAAGAAGATCTGAACACATTAAATGTACTTGAAAACAGCAAAATCCAATGTGATAAAATAAATGTTCTTTTTCTAAGTTAAGGTTTGAAGTATGTCTGAAAGAAACGTTTTCAATTAGTTACCTACATATTTATGTAATAAAGTGTATCTTGCAATTCAGTTTACCCTGTAGCTTGACTGCCTGGTGTCTTACCTCCAGCACAAGTGGCAGAACATTCTGACCAAGGCAGATGATTCCACGCAAAGCCAACTTCATTGTCTCCACTGCCAGTGCGAGAGATGGGAACATTGAATTTATACCTTATACCCAAATTTTGTTCCTGTAGCAGAATCTGTAGTTGAAAACAACTGGTTATACCATTAAAACAGGCAAGCAGAGGGCAACTACAGTGACATTAATCTAGGCATGTGTTATGTCTTGTGGAAGGGGAAAAAGTAATAAAGGAAGCCACAGTGGTTCTGTACGGTATTTCCAAGTGAATCTGAACTGACTTATAAGATGCATACAAACGAAAAGCATTATTGTATTAAGGTGGTAAGCCACCTTTTTCCATTGACGCCACAACTTCACAACTTTTGTCACTTCTTTATTTTTGACATAAAAGTTCTAAAAAGTCAGTCTTCATAAATTAATGTATTAATTAATGGAAAAGAATTTGGTAACTGAATCATTACTTGGGGTCAAAGTAGGTTACAGACGTTACTACGCAAACATGCAGCAATTCTCACTGAAATCTTGTAAAGAGCTACCCATGTAGTAGTTATGAACCGAGCCCTGCCCTTGTTTAATACTTCTAGTAATTAATAATAGTAAAAATAGTAACACAGAAACAGAGTGTTGCTGAGGTTACTGTTTTCCCGTAATGCATTGGCTAGCAGCATTAAACTAATGGAATCACAGCAGTGGTTCCTTTAAAGGAATATCAAAACTATTACTACAGCTGCACCACTGTAGATGATATAGATGGAAGTGCAACAATCACTATGTGCTTTATCTACCATGACTGTTGAAATGCAGTGCACTTCCACATACCACCTGCTGAACACTAGTGTCTGATTATCTACCAAACTTTTTTTTTTTTTGCGTCAGGTGCAGCATCTGACATATCTATGAGCTATTTCTCAACTCCTTCTACGTTTTATTGTATTTTGTAAAAGTGTATTTACCTAACTATTAGCCAAAAGAGATTCAATACAAAACTCATAGAGACTGACCAAATGAGAAAAGGTGCTATAATCTTTATGAAACTCATTCTATATGAACTCCCCAGTTTATCCACAGCTACAGTAAAACAAACAAAGAAAAAATGGGATTCAAACACTTAAGAACACTGACTAAAATGTAATTATCCAGGCAACAATCATTCTATACAGAAAAATATCCTGTCTGGCTCAAGCAATCCCTAAACCGCAAAACTGGTAGCTGACAGAATATACTGATCAAGTTTCACCTTAGTCTTATACTCTTCCTCAACACAACAAAGCGATATAGTAGGGCTCATTACTGACTACTGTCAGAGACAGGCTACCAGCACCCTGGTCATATTTTCTTCTGTTACATTCAAATATTTTGTACCATCGATTCATAGCAATTGATCTCAAAACATACTTTAACGCAGGTCAAATAGAAATACTAAGGCCATGATTAAAACCACTGACAACTACAGACCTGTAAGGAAAAAAACAATGCTGCTGTGTACATATTAAACATCACAGTCATAGTCTGATGCAATTACTATATGCTATATCTTAACAATTCCATGTATCAGAAATACACAGAAATACAAAAAATATTTAATTTACAACTTTTGCTACTACTATTCTGACGCACACTTAACACAGATCGGGCATTTCCTGTGATGCTTCCCAGGGCTCTTCTAACTTTACACCTTTTCCATCACAGTATCTACCCGTCAGTCTTAAAAAAGAGGAAAAGTGAATTAAAATACAAATGCAAAAAGTCCCAGCACGGCCTGTGACCTATTCTGATTTTGTTCATGGTCTTATCTTTCCTCAGAACATAAAAACTTATTTCAGATTTCAGAAATATATTAATTGTAAACTTTACCATGACTATGAGATTTTCTGAAGTAGGGCCTAGTGCTTCCAAAGACTCTGGTTCATCTGTTGGCCTCTTGTAATGGAAAGCTGTTCCAGCAACATCAAACTTTCTTGGCCAGTCAATAGTCCAGGCACCATTAATATAGTAGTCATCCTCTTCAGATTTTAAAGCTTAAAAAAAAATACAAGCCACCTAAAAATTGGAAGCAGCATTTATAATGGAGAAGCCATTACAAATTAAACTACTACTCTGTTAGAAGTATATGAGTTTCAGCTCTCTATCATTGTTTTTTCAACAAATGTTCTTCTTTAGCCTTGGTTAAAATATCCCTCATACAGTTTGAAAATACTGTCTCTATCATGAACTTTAATGTGCAGGTACACTTTGCAGATTTCAACATGCAGATGCTATATTGGAAGTAACAGTGCCTTGCGCAACCTGAAATATATCTTCAACTTTAAAACTAAACCCACCTGCAATGTATGCTGTTCTGCTTAAGACATATGTAGGTCTCAAATGTATAATCAATTACCAATCTAATTTAAGATTAATTAAGATTATCATTAATAATTAAGATTTCATACGTTCAAGCATAAGAAAGACATCACATATCATGCTGAGAGAGAAAAAAAAAAGATTGACTTTGAAGTATGGTCCCAATCAGTTTACTTTGTTGTCTCTGCTCATTTTCTTTTTTCCTTCTTAAAGCATAAATCCAAGGCATTTCTACTACAAAAACAAATACTAGCTGATTCATCTGCCAAGATATTTTTATTTTATATATTTATATTTTTAATTTATAGCCTTAATCCATGTAAGTACTCTAGATAACAAACAGATTTCTTAGCTAACTGACCAGTTAGGCTGGACAAGCATATATTATTCAATATTTTATGAGATTACATTTCTAAATATGAAACTGACTTTGTATCTTAAGGTACATATTCTGTTAATTAGATATTGCCTTCTGGACAAGATAATGATGAAGATCACTAGTTATTCATCATTTATGTTTACTGTACATAAAGCATGCTCTTAAAGGCAAGATCATGGCTGTAAATACACAATCAAACAGCTTTGGATTTTGAGACAAAACACACACTGCTTTTACTAGATAGGAATTTTACAAACTCATGGCACAGCCATAAGGAGAAGAAAATTTATGATGAAGTTTTATTCTCAACTACAGCTGTGTAGACAGAGGTTTTACCTTGAAGAGTTAGGAAAAAATTCAGAATGATGCTCAAATTTTCTATTGATTTGAATTGATCCGGAGAGCATTCATATGAACAAGAGATGGTGAGGAAGTAACATTATGGTGGTGACGGCCTTATTCATCAGGGATTAGTAACCATTTCCAACACCACCATAAAGTCTGAAAAAGAATGCCTTTCCGTAGCAAAATTTTGCTTCATTAACTTTCCTGGATTTAATCTGGAAACATGTATGTGCTTTGAGTGAAGAAACTAGCTTTCACACAGTCACTTATTTTAAATTCTCAAAGTAGTTCAGATTCTCTATTGTCTATATGGCTTTTGTAGTACAAGAAGCAGAGAATAAAAAACATGCATAAGAAAACAAGATAAATTGCAGGCAGTAACATACTAAAAGAAAGGAACAGTACTCCCACTATTAATCTATTTTAAGCAGGTATATGAAATAAAAAATCACAGAATGGTTTGGGTTGGAAGGAATTTTGAGGATCACCTAGTTCCAACCCCACTTCCACAGGCAGGAACACCTTCCACCAGCCCAGGTTGCTCCAAGCCCCATCCAGCCTGGCCTTGAACACCTCCAGGGATGGGGCATCCACAGCTTCTCTGGGAAGCCTGTGCCAGTGCCTCACCACACTCACAGTAAAGAACTTCTTCCTTATATCTAATCTAAATTTACCCTCTTTTAGTTTAAAGCCATTATCCTTTGTCCTATTAAAATACATAACTATGTTACACATGAGCATTGGTCTTATATTAGTGGTCACATCTCCATAGAGCCAAAACTTCTAATGAAACTTTTAAGTGAGCAAAGGGGTAGAAATATTCTAATGCATGATGCATATATAATAAATCTTTCTGAAATTCTGTGCTTGTACTATCAACTGTGTGTATGCTATACCCTTTTTTGTTTTTTACTTGCCTACAAAAGAAAAATGTGTTTGCATTCTGTGAACAGATTTGCTTAATATGCATTGTTATGCACAGGTGAAGGACACAGCTGTGAATAGCATTCCAATAACATAATTACATGACTATGATGAAGCACTGACATAACTATTAGCATATAAGACAGAAGGAACAAGTTAATATACTAATTAAATAATTTTTTAGAACTTGAGAATGCAGGAAGCCCACAGGAAATTAGTACTCAACATCTTGTTGCAAAGGGAGAATATAAGCAAAGATGTCAGCTCAGATCAACCCAATCAAGGGAAGATAACAGCATTCCTAAACATACATTTTTTCAGCAGCTCTGGAAACGGGCAATTTTATTGTTGGATTATTTTTGGTCAGATCATTTAAAAAAATAAATTATTATTTATGCAGCTGCAGTAACATGTGGTTTTGTTGCCACAGCACTAGGAGTGATACTGGTGCAGAAAGTATCAGCCCGAGATGGGGGCAGGGAGGACAGGTGCTGACTGAGCTACTTGAGATTGCCAAATACCTAACTGCTTCCTAAATTTGAGGCCAGGGTTTACAAAATAACTGGATTTTAGTTCAGGAACTGTGGGATGTTTGCTGCAAGTTAGAGACCCTACTAACTGAAAAGAACAGAGGAAACATTGAAAACAGTATGAGAGAGTTTTTTTCTTTCTTTCTTTTTTGTATATTTCCAAATGGAGAAATTGATTTCTTAGACTGTGGTCACATATTTGGCAGCAGTACACATAGACCAAAACATAATAATATGTGTAAATGGTTATTTTCAGCTGAATCAGTTCTCTAATCTGGTTTCTGGTTCATGGTGTGACCACAAAACATCCGTCCTGAACAACAGAGAGGAACTGCATAAAGATGGGGAAGTTGTAAAGTTGACACTGCCACTAAAGAAGCATCTATAAAATGATACTCTAGAAGTATGCATTTTAACATAATAAACTATTTTTTAACTGCCATCCTGCTTGCATAGTCGTTTTTAGGGAGCAAACAAATTATAAGCATTCCTTTCCCCCAAAACTGCTGATCCTTGAACAGTGATCTGGTTCACATTCATAGTACAAAACATTCCAACAAAAAAAGGAAACAGTCCTTGCAACTTAGTATTATCTTACAATAGGATATAATGGTCCCTTTCAAAGTTGTAAACACAAGGAAAGAAATCCCCCTGAAATTAGCAAGGGCTTCTGTGGCATTTAGCAAGGTATTGAGGAGAGGGCCTGAAAATCAGGAACCCTCTTGAAATTGTAAGAAGCAGGCTGAAAAAACAGCTATGTACCATTTTACCTTTTTAGATCTGTGGTCAAATTAAATATCAAAAAAGTTGCCTATATTTTTTATTGAAGTTAAAAAATTAGCGTTTTTTTTCATTCATTTGGTGCTGATGGTACTGACCTAAATACTGCTCCAGATCACATTCCTCTGATTTATAAGCAAAATTTATAACAAACTTAATGGTAGTAACTAAGAGTATCTGGTTTATTCTATTTAACTCCTGTATTTATTTTCAGCTACCCACAGAATCAGAAACACAAGTATCTTAATGGAATCTGTGTACTAAATATGACATTAATATTAGCCTAAATGTCCATGTTAACAAAACATTCTTTTGACAATATGGTTCTTAGCATAGAGCAACCACATTAGTGTGCATTGTATGCCTTTCTTCCACTACCACCTCTGTCTCAAAAGTCATTGTAGGATATTTGATCAATGTTACTCACATATTTTGACATGGGGGAGTGTGATGCTGAAAGAATAACAAGCACTCTTTACTGCTGGAGTAGTGGATGTTACTATCCCCTGCAGAATGAAGGGAGACTGAAAATCTGCTGAATTACATGATTGTAGGGGCAGGCAAAAAGAAAGGAAAAAGCATCCAATAGTAAAAGGCACCATTATCATCAATACAATCAATTTAGCAATTAATGTATCTAGGGATGTTATTGTCCTTCCTACTAACATGCATTATAGTCCTTTCCAACACATTGCTATTCTTTATACTAATTACATGCAGAACAGACTGAAAAAATAGCCTAGTCAGTTGTCATTATGCCTAAACAGGTTAACAGCTTCTGTTTGTGTTTATGTTAGTTTCCGGTAGCACTGATCAGCTCTCTGCACTACTGTGAACAAATGCTATGCAAATCAGACTACAGGAGCTGTCAGAAACGCATGCTCTTTTTGAGTTTGATAAAGCTAGATCTGTACACACCAATATTTAAAAGCTGAAAAGCAAATTTAACATGATCTTAAAGGAAACGGGATAAACTGGGCATTTGAATTTAATTCTGTTTTACCACAGGCTTCCTGTATAATCTCAATAAAGCCCATAGCTTTTCTGCACCCCATTTTCCCTTATCTATAAAACAGGAATGGCATCAAGTCCCTACAAAGCAGCAACACAGAAACACTGTGGAGTTATTACATTCAACTGCCTTAAGATAAGGAGGCATTATTATTGTATTTAAGCAACCATGACTGTTGTTGAATAATCATTCCAAGCAAAAAATGATGTTTTAAAACAGTATGGTTCCCTAAGATCAGAGACTTCCTCAGGTATAAGACATTACCTCAGAGAGGGACAGTAGATCACTTGAGTGTTCCTCATCCACTCTAGCTCCAAGTCTGACTCCGTAACTACAGTAAAACTGACCTGATTTTGCACTGTATACAAGGAGGAATCACATGATGCATTCCATTAGCTCCACTCAGGAGAATACATCCTAACCACCTGCTGTAACTGTCTGACCACAGATTAAGATTAACAACTACTATTCCCTCTGCAGCTTCTAATATATGAACGGTTTGGTCATATCAGAAATATGTATTTCTAAATCATATCAGAAAATCTAACTTAATAACAGTCTGCTATTTAAACCATGCTCTTACCAATGTAGTTCTTTGACATTGCCACTTCTCTTATTTCAATGTGCACAGAACCTCTTGGAATTTGAATCACTTCCATATAGCCTGTAAAAGAAAGATAACTTTTTCTCGTTATCTTAAAAAATATTAGTCGTGAAACTAGCCATTAATAAATTATTCACTACTAAAAAACAGTAAGAAGCATGGAATTCAAATGTATTTGCATATTTTTGTTTATGTGATGCATAGAAATGTCTTTAAAGTTCAGATACATTTGACTGTGGTAGAAAGAATTTAATGTGAATTTAGGAATTCATTTTTTTAACGATAATAAAGTCTTTTCAAGTATATTACAAGTAACTAATATATAAAATGACCATAAGATCATAGAATAATTCAGGTTGGAAAGGATCTGAAGACTTTCATTTAGACCAACTTCTTACTACTAGCTAGGAGGTAAGACAAGGTTTGTCAACACGTCATAGTTGTGTAGTGTTATAAGGAACTCCAAAGCTGGAAACTGTACAATCTTTCTGGGCAACCTGATCCACTCCTGGAAAAATGTTTTTCCTTCCATTGGGTCAGCACATGTCTTGTTTCAATTTATAGACATAGTCTCTGCTCCTCCCACCACACGTCCACCACTGTGAACAGTCTGGCTCTGTTTTCACCATAACATCCTCATAGATTTGGAAGGATGGTATCCAGTCCCCACAAGTCTTTTCTCTCCCAGGCTAAATAAGCCCAGTTCCCTCAACCTCTACTGACAGAGCAGTAATTGCTCCAGCACCCACTAATCTTAGTGGCCCCCTCACTGAGCTGAACTAACTCTGGTACATCAATCCTTTTCTTATGCCCAGGACCACATGCAATATTAGTTAAGATTTAATAAGATAATAAGATAGTAAGGTTTAATTAGATGGAGCAGATGCAGTAACACAGAGAATCACTGCAACACTAGTACTGTCTATTCTGAGCTAAGTTTTCAACTAATCACCCTTATATATTTCCATATACATTTATTTTCTTAATAACATGAGCATAAAAGACTCTTCTGGATCCTTTCTATTCTAAAATGTCATGTATAGTCAAATACATGATTACAAATAACAGATTACACTAAAATAAAAACAAACCACCCACTTCTCGTTGAGTGCATTTAACATCATCAGAACTAAGTAAGTAAGATTAAGAAAATATATGACTGTATTTTATAGAAATCCAAACTAACACAGGAAAAGAAAACAACTAGACAAAAGTAGTCACAGTGTATGACTGCCAGCAATGCAATGCTGGAAATCAGTTGGAACACTGTTATGTTTTAAACAGCCACATAAATACAACAGAATGGACTTGTATGTGCATACCTCCTCTGGGCAATGAATCATTGAAGAAACCTTCAATTGCTTCACATGTACTCCCATCTCCTCCACAAACACGGCATCTATCTTCCTTAGCATCAGACCCCAAAATATTATCACAACCCACATGCTAAGAGAAGAAAAGAAAAAATATTTTAACAGTTTTCTTACACCTTTACCTTCATAGATCGTTGAAGTATTTCACTCAAGTGTAAGATATTCAGAAAGATATTCATTCTTTCTATCTATTCTGTTTCCAATACCTGCTACTATTAAGTGGGTTGTCACTTGCAAGAAGTGAAGAAAATCAAAAATCAAAACAAAATTTTGGCTTACTAAAAACGAACTTTGACTTACTGAAAATAAATTTTGGCTTACTGTTAAGTCTTGATTAATAAATATTTTCTATTTCTACTGTGACTTTCAGGTGGGGATCTCATAGCAATTTACAAACAATGTAATTATTACAATTATTAATAAATGATTAGTGACCTTTTTATTTAATATTACAAGGGCTAAATGTGTTTAATCTGTATCGGTTTAAGGGAAACATTAGCTGTAATTTTCTTAAACGTTTATGTAGCATAAATATTATTTACAAAGGAATTTACAGCTTTATAGACTACTTATCTACTTGAGAAATCTATGTACAGTGAACAATGAGCATCTGCATCTGACTAATTTATTCATCACTATTAGAAACCTAATGCAAATATATACAGTCAGATACCTAAAAAACAGAACAAAAGCCAAACCAAACCAAACAAAATGAGAACGAACACTGGACATTGACATTTTTGTCTGGGATTTATATAAAATAGGAGGCAGCTGCATAGCTTGGTTTTAACTTGCAAACAGGTTAATGCATAGGTCAGAAGTTAAAATACTGCAAGTAATTGAAAAAACAGTATTATTCTAACCACTTATACTTCAATTTCATAATTCGCCAAGATGAAAAGGACCTGCTTTTTTTTTTTTACACAGCCCCCTCAAACTTGAGTTTTAGTCTGGTTATTAGTTTTAAAAGACTTCTCCAAAGTGCTAGAATGTTCTTATTTACGAAGTACACCAGAATTCCATGGGTTATTTTTTGTGCTTTTTTTTGCTTAGATTACTAATGGTAAATCTCATCGTATTATTCAATAAACATAAATCTTCAGCATTCAGTATAGCAAACCACTTAAGTCTTGAGTAACCTTTAGGTATGTTAGTGGTTTCAGCAAAATCAGATGATTTTTACTAGTCACCAACACTATTCAAATGTTTAGACTTAAATACATAATTAAATGCTTTGCTAAACTGAAGCAGCAGTATGATGAATATAACAAAAATATGGCACAGACATCCAATTTTCTTCAAATTCATGAAATACAGTTCTATAAGAACCTTACAAGGTAACTGTATTTTTAGTAAATGGCAAATACTTGCCCTTATACACTCTCACAGAGTGACAGTGACAAATTTCTGTTCCAAGTTAATTAACAGCAGAATTGTTTCCAACAGGATGAACTATTTGTGGAGAAACAGATTAATATGTTCATGTTTACTGTTTTTCTTCCAGAGTAGTGTTCTAATTGGAATGATGGAACAGGCCTTGGAATAGTACAAGGAATATGCTCATCTCCTGTTGCTTTTTCCACTGATAGTTTACACAGAAACCACAAAGCAAGATAAAAGATGGCAAAATGAAGAACTCTAATCTGCTTTAATGTCTGTGAGGAGCTAATTTGAATGATTTGTCTTATTTGGTCAAGTGCAACGTGCTCCACCTGGGTCAGGACAATCCCAAACATGAGTACAGGCTAGGCTAATATTGGATTGAGAGCAGCCATGCAGAGAAGGACTTGGGGTACAGGCAAATGAAAAATTGGACTTGAACTGGCAGTATGCACTTGCATCCCAGAAAAACAACTAAATCCCAGGCTGCATCAAAAGAACTGCAGCCAGAAAGTGGATGGAGGTGATTCTCACCATCTGCTCTGCCCTCATGAGACCCCACCTGAAGTGATGCATTCAGCTCTGGGGCCTCCAGCACAAGAAGGACATGGACCTATTAGAAGGAGTCCAAGGGAGGGCCACAAAGATGATCAAGGGGCACCTCTCCTATGAAGAGGGGCTGAGAGAGCTGGGGATGTTTAGCCTGGAGAAAAGGTTCTGAGGACACCTTTTTGCAGCCCTTCAATACTTAAAAGGGCTTCTAAGAAAAATGTATAAAGACTTTATAAAAGGGCACGTAGATACAGGACAAGGGGTAAAGCCACTGGAAGAGGGTAGACTTAGATTAGATGCAAGGAAGAAATCCTTCACTATGGAAGGTGGTGAGGCACTGGAACAGGTTGGCCAAAGAAGCTGACAAAGTCCCCTCCTCGGAAGTATTCAAGCTCAGGTAGGATGGGGCTTTGGTCAACCCAGTCTAGCAAAAAATGTTCCTGCCCATAGCAGAGGGGTTGGAACTAGACTATCTTTAAAGGTCCCTTCCAACCCGAATCATTCCATAATTCTATGATTATGCAATACCTTTTTTTAGCTCTTTGTCTCTGACTCTTTCTTTAAGAACTTCATCAACAATCCTGTTTCACACAAGTAACCATCAGATACCATAATTAAATGTAGGATATAACAGACAAAACAAAGTAATCTGTAAGTACTTTATAAAGAATTTGTAACCTTGCATTCTCCATTGATACAGATATCCAGTGAGTCAGCATTGCACTGAGTCCCATCTATTACTGCAGGAGCACGTTCAGTGTAAAAATTATAACCTTCAGCCAAGCAGTTTAATGCACATGGTTTAACCCCACCTGGACAATAAAACCAAAGAAACAAAATAACATAATTCTTGAAAAAATATTAATTAGTTAAGAATATATATGCATAAACAAATCTGAAATATATAAAATTCCCTCATACCTGACACATAATATATATATATACTTTATTTTACTTTCTCTTATTGATTTCTCTACTTGACTCTTCCCTTTTTTGCAGAGAGGATTATTTCTTATAGTAAGATATGTCAAGATTGGATAGCTACTTAAGGATTCTATTATGTTAATACAACACTAATGATTATTGAACAATTAAAAAAAAAAGGATACTTCACCATTTGAGAAAAACGAATAAGAAAAGAATGTAGTTTTAGAAGTATGTCAGTGTAAATTTCAAAAACAAGATCAGACTATGTCAGTTAGGACTTCAGTCTTATTACTTGACATACGCTACAGCTCAGATCATGTGATCACAATGGTCACTTTTAGGCTTCTAATCTTTAAAAAAAAATCTATAGAAAAATAAAACCACAAATGTGAAACTGATTTACTCAGGGCTTAGAACAGGAAAAAAAAAAAAAATTTAAATCAAAAGGCGAGTTAGAAACATTGAACAATGACAGAAACAACTAAATCTGCCTAAACTGTCACAGAGAAAAAGAAATTACAATCCTTTTCTCTGCCTCAAAATATCCTTTTATTGCATAGCATAATTAGTTATAACTCAACTTATTGAAGTAGCCTTGGATACTTTATGAATGCTTTTACTTCTTTCTCCATTTCTTAGTATTCTCACCTTAATTAATGAAAACTTTATTGATATGTTTATGCTAAACTTGTCACTGTAGCATCAAAATTACTTATAGATCATCTATGTATTCTCTAAGAACATCACAACTGCAGGTGGAAAAGGGTTTCTTATTTTAAAGTGGAGTCCCTACAATGACGCTCACCCTCTTTCCACATCAAAAGAAAAAAAAAAAAAAGAATTGTCATGGCTCTTCTGTTACATTTTTCGTAACTGACAAAAGGTTACCCAACTTAACTTATTATATATTCATCAAAATGTTCTATTTACATACACTACTTTTTGTAGTTTTAATATTTCACTCAAAAATATTTTTTGAAAAGCTACACATTACCTCCAGTGTAGGGTTTCCAGTTATAATACTTTCCCCGGAAAGGCATATTGTCAAAGTCTGCACATTGTTTTTCTCGAAAATCACGGGCTTCTGAAGGACATGGCTAAAATCATACAGACAAAAAGAAAAAAAAAAAAAAAAAAGATTAATTTCTTCTAAATATCAACATAATAATAAATACCTGTATTACAAATAAAAAAATAAAATCATCCAAGACACTAGGAGATGGTTCCCTGCTTTATCTTGTGGGTCTGATACTAACACATGCTTTATAACTGATGCATTTAGTTTGCAACTTTCAGCTGGAAAAGTAACTGAACTACTCTAAACAAAGATGTTTCCATAATTCCATAAAGCCAATCGAAATCATGTCAAATTATGCTTCATAATCAATCCATTAGCTACCTCCTTATAAGCACACATAAAAAACAACTGTAAAAAATAAAACCATTTTGATAAGAGCTCTAACCTTAGTTGTACTGTAATAAGCAGCTGTACTGAGCTATGTTTTTAAGACATGGATAAAGAAATTAAAACACTTTCTGAAGAGCTGCAGACTATTATCACCATTTCTTACTTGCAGCTTTGACAAAAGGATTACATTAAGGCTGAGAAAAAGGGTAGATATGCTTAGTTCTAATTCTAACCAGTCTCCAAGTGTAATATTTAAGCAGTCTCCAAGTGCTTATATTTAAATTTTCACTATTTCACACTATCATTTAAAAAAAAATGAAAAATAACCGTCTTATGTGGAGTAATGATAGATTTAAGTGAAAATCATATCAGGAAAGAATTTCAGGAAAAACTGAATTCTTAGCTATTTCTCAATTTTTTCATCAGCAAGTTCAAATGACAATTTTGAATACACACAGAATTCAGATAGCACATTAAACATTACTATCAATGTTTAAGTAGCAGCTGCAATTGCAAGTGTCATCAGACAAAGTATTTGAAATACAGATTAAAATCATTTTTAGACTGAAAGAGAAAAGAGATTGTTTGACAGAAATGAGAGTTGTGAATAAATATTACTATTTTATGAGCAACAGAAGAGTCCATTTCATGGCAGTTTTACTAGTCTTCCTATAAATATCTAAGCTAGTTAGCACTGTTGAGGAATCTAAAATGCAATCAAGTGAAAGGATCTGTATAAACATGTATGATAAAAATCTACTTAACAATGCAAATATTAACATAATAATTATAATTCTCAGTACACATGAATCACGTTCTTACCACAGCCGTCCTATTGCACTATGATTCAGAAACTACATTCTTTTCCAGTTCTGCATTTAATGAAAATGCTGGATACTAGAGTCTCGCAATTTTAAATTTTGTGTATAAATCACTCTATTATATCCTTCTTATTAAATAATACATTTTTGAATATAAGGCATTTACTGGTTAAAAAAAAAAAAAAAAAAAAAAGTTACTGCTGCTGCTTTAATTAAAGTCCTTCAGAGCACAATACTGACAATAACAACTGTGTGCAAATAAAATGAGAAGAAAAAGATATTTTTAATTGGTTACACCAGTTGTATTTGCCTATTTGCATTTTACTCTCCAAGCAGCAGAAAGAAATAACCTGACATACTTCAAAGGTTGTGACCAATCTCACTGATACTGGTCAATTCATCCTATTCTTCAGCTCCAGGTAGGATCATAGAACCAATCATAGAATCATTAAGGTAGGAAAAGACCTCCAAGATCACCTGGTCCAACCATCCCCCTACCACCAATATCACCCACTAAACCATGCCCCTAAGCACTAAGTCCAAACCTTCCCACAAGGACCGTGATGCCACCACCTCCATGGGCAACCCATTCCAATGCCTGACTGCTCTTTCTGAGAAGAAATGTCTCCTCATTTCCAACCTCAACCTCCTGTGGCCATTCCCTCTAGTCCTATCACTAGTTACCTGCAAGAAGAGACCAACCTCCAGCTCCCCACACCTTCCTTTCAGGGAGCTGCAGAGAGCAATAAGGTCTCCCCTGAGCATCCTCTTCTCCAGGCTAAACAACCCCAGTGACCTCAGCCACTCCCCACAGGACTTGTGTTTCAGGCCTTCACCAGCTTCAAAGCCCTGCTCTGGACATGCTCCAGGACCTCAACATCCTTGTAGTGAGGGGCCCAAAACTGAACACAGTGCTCAAGGTGCAGCCTCACCAGAGCAGAGTACAGGGGGACGATCACCTCCCTGGTCCTGCTGGCTGCACTATTCCTGACACAAGCCAGGATGCCGTTGGCCTTCTTGGCCACCTGGGCACATTGACGGCTCATGTTCAGATGAGCATCAACCAACATCCCCAGATCCTTTTCCTCTGCACAGGTTTCCAGCCACTCTGCCCCAGGCCTGTAGCACTACATGGGGTTGTTGTGGCCAGAGTGCAGGACCTGGCACTTAGCCATGTTCAATCTCATCCCATTGGCTTTTGCCCAGTGACCCATCCTGTCCAGGTCCCTCTGCAGGGCCTTCCTACCCTCCAGCAGACTGACACTTCCCCCCAACTTGGTGTCATCTGCAGACTTACTAAGGGTGCACTCAGTTCCCTCATCCAAATCATCAGTAAAGATATTAAAGAGGATAGGCCCCAACACCAGCCCCTGAGGAATACCACTGATGATCAGTTGGATTTCTCTCCATTCACCATTATTCTCTGGACCCGGTTATCCAGCCCATTTTTAACCCAGCATGCTAAGACACTGATTTGTATGGCTGCTATTTTACCAACGTGCAAGTTAGTTAAACTCCCCTGCAAAAGACACCATGAAATCCTTTTTCTGAATAACATTCTCATAATCTGACTTTTGAGATATAGTCTTACTTCTCTTGTTTGACGGTGATCTCAGATATATTTTGAGGCATCATCATCTCCATTAATAAGCCAGATCATGAAGAAGAGTGCACTCTCAGCAAGTTTGCAGATGGCAGAGAACTGGGAGTAGTAGCTAACAACAACTGAGGGTCACAATGGCATCCAGAGAGACCTCAATAGGGTGTTAAATGGACCCACAGAAACATCATAAAATTAAACAAAAGAGAAATGCAGTCCTGAACACAGGGAGGAATATCCTCATGCATTCAGCATGTCAGTTGTGGGTCTCATGCTGGGGGCCTCTCAGTTGGAAAGGAACTTAGCAGAAAAGGAACTGGGATGTAGAATGCTACTCAAGGTGATAAACACTGCAACTTTACTTAAGAGACATAATAGGAAGGTTACTGCAGGAGTAGTTGTCTTTTCATCATACTTCTTAGGTCATCTTTGCCTAGACTAACAAGAATCTTTTATTATTATACCCATGACACAAATATAGTGACATGTTGTGTAGTATCATACATGATTCCTCTACACAGGAAGAATTTCAGCCACAGCATTATAAAAGTCTGAAAAAGCCTAAGATCACTGTAGTAGCTCAAGGAAACAAAGAATGCAACTGTTATCAATTTGGATGACTTTCCTTCTAGGTTGCAGGTAATGAAACAGTAACAGAACAGGAGAAAAAGCTACTACAGACATTTTATCAATCACCTGTGATAACAAAGAAGATTGAAAAGGTCTTCAATACTGATATTCTAGCATGCTTTTGGCATACCTGGCACACTCCATATCTTATTTAAATAAATGAGATAATTCTTGAAGGGAGTCACTCACAGAAAGATCACTATTGAAAAGACTAATGATGCCAAAGGCTTTCATATTGAACAGCATATTTTTTTCCGCATAACCTGCTTTTGTGCTTGTAGGAAAACTAGTTTTATTACACAGGCTTACCTACTTTTAAAACAAGGACTCTTTCAACTCAGACCTGCATTAGGAGATCACAAAGACAACACTCATTTCTAATTCCAACTATTTTACTACCTGACATCACTGGATACAATTTAGTTAACATACATTGGTACCACTAAATGTTGTTAATTTTGTCTTAAAATGATGAGTTTAAAATGGGTAAGAATGCAGCTGGAGATTTCAATTATCAGAGAAAGTACTGCAGACAGGGGTGTGACAATGTTCCCTGTTTCTTAACATTCTGTCTGGTTTCGGTAGTCCTGCAGATTTAATTGTGGCTTCCTTTACTTCAAGTACAGTTAAATTAATTTTAAAAAATAATATATCTCTGATGTCAAAGCTTTTCTATAACCCAGTGTATTTGGCTGCTAATTCATCATTCCATTGACAGATTTGATAACCTTTGCAATAAAATAAGTTTTAGTGGCTATGTCTTCTCAGGGAATCCTAACTGATCTCAGGATCTGGCTCTTCATCCAAATCATTACTTAGAATACGCTGAATCATTAGTTGAATCCAGCTTTCAGGTGGATTTAGTAAAAAGGCTGCCATTTTGCAGACTGCAGTTACAAAATGATAGCCCAAAATATACAATATTCTGTAGTCTGAAGAAAAAAAAATGCAATTTACACTGCAATTGCAATTTATTTATATTGCTTTACTTGATTTCCTGTACGTAACTGCTACCTGAGAGGAAGTAAAACTAAAGATGATGTCCTCAAGATATGTATTCAAAATAATACCAATAGTAATGCAAACAGGTTACTGCAAGATTAGCTACAATATACATTTACAAGATGTCAGCTTTTTGGCACTGTCTCTCTGTGTAGGTGCTCTTCACCCAGAATAATTGTGCAATAACTGCTTCACTTTAGTGGGTAAGATATTTCACATTTTTCGTGGAATTTTTCATGGCCACAGACTGCTTGTGTTTCCAAACTCTCTTATAGGAGACTGCAGTTTGTAAGGCAGGAATCTAACAAACGTAAAAGAACTTATAATCGTGTCTGAAGAAGGTTCTGAAAAGATGATGAAACATTTAAAATTTTGAGTCAAAAAAGCACCCACTTTAAGAAGAACATCAAAAGCTTTTACGACAAAAAGCAAAAATAGTTTAACAATTGTTAACAAGTCACTGAACCAACACTGACGCAACACCAAACATCTGATCTTACAGAAATCTGTTTTTCTTGGAACTTCAAGTCAGGCAGACCTCAGTAATTGACTGGGCTTCCTATTAACAAAAGGCCAGAAGGGTAATAGTTGAAACTCAGATACTGTTCCAAGATGTAATTCCTCACATAGATAGATTTTACATATAACAGGACTGAAAATACTAATTTTATGAAAGTGATGAACAGTAGCTGTGAATGAATATATGCGTAAAGGAAGGAAGCAACAGGAGTCCTTTGCCTAAGAGAAAAGGTTGAAGAACTTAAATCTTTTAAAGGTATGTATACATTTATACCTTCAAGTAAATAAACCATTTACAAAACCTGTAAACAAAACATGTTACTGTATTTTAAAAATAAGGAGCCTTTTACAGTCCTACATGTGTATCAGATTAAGTTTCACAACCTAGATATATGTTAAACGAGACAATGAGTTATTTTAACTGAGGTGTTGTGTCTTGCAATTTCATGGGTTTGTTTTTTATTTCCTAATTTATATAAGTAAATAAGCATTTGTTTCCAACAGAAGTAAGAGGTACTGTGCTTGATGTTAGAAAATATGTTTCTGATGAATGTGTGCTTTCTACCACCTTTTGTTTCCAGAACTCATTAGCTAATGTTCTTTTCTGCTGATCTCAATGTTTCCATTAGCAGATGCCTTTCGAATTAAGAAGTCATATATGGCTTTGGAAGTCTTTGATGAGAAATATGCCTAGTAGGAGTGTGTGCACTGTTTCCAAAGAATGAAAATGGTCAAAAGAAAGGGCAACAGAACTAACCCTTCACTGAAAGAAAAATGAAGTCAAAATGAGGGTGTGTTTTTTTTTTTGTTGTGTATGAATAGTAGGAGCTTAAGGGAGTGTTACCTCTAAAATTACAGATGGGCAATGAATGTTGACACTGCAAAAAATTCAACAGAAAAGATGTACAAACAACACATTTTTCATAAAAACAATGACAGATTTGCATGCTCTTAGTGCTTACATTAATCAAACATACCATTCCTTTAAAAATGTCAAGCACTAAGGACTGCAATAAATCTTGAAACAAAATATACTAGCCTCAGCAATTCTTAGCTATTTAGAACCCTAAATATTACTATAAAAGAAATGAACTACAATCGTCAAAACCATTACAACAGTAAATTTAGACTTCTGTAAGTCGTAGTATATTTATGCACTGAAAAAACATACCTCACAGAAAAACAATTTTTAAAAAATTATTCACAGTCAAATAGTAAGAATGGCATTTGTAAATACCCTGGCCCAATTATGTTATTGTTCAAGATTTGTTTTTCGAAGTTTCCTTTCCAAATCCCTGTATAAATTATTGAAATCTGACTACAGGTAGGGAATAAACACTTTGGAATAAAGGACTATAATTTTAGAAGGTTTTGGTAACTTGAAGCAGTGATTTGAAATAAAGCAATGGATGCAAATCACTACACTTGGGTAGGACCAATCAACTGTACAGGACAATCTGAGGAATGGCCTCCTAAACCACAATACCTTAGAAAGGGATTTATTTGGGTGCTATGAATCCATATGTGCAGAATAAATGTCAGATTTAAGACACAAGAACACAATACTATAATTTATAAACAGAATCTCATCACTAAGATGACATACTTAGTTCTAGGTTGTGCCTTGTTTTGACTGGAACTAGAAACCTATGCATAGGTAGGTTTGGGTACCACACTTCAGGAAGATGTGCACTACTGGGATGACAAAGATGATAAAAAGAGACACTGTTTGGTGTAAAGAAGACTAAGAGGAGATGACAGTGGTCTTCAAACACAGGAAAAGCTGCCACAGAGGGAGTAAGACCAGCTATCTTCTAAATTGCACTTTGGACAAAGTAAGAGCCTTAAAGGATATGGGAAACATGCTACATTTTAGATAAAGATCATAGCAATATCTCTCTGACTGGAAATATTTCAAAACAGGTCTGACAACTGCTTGACCATCAGTTGAGAATGGACTAATTACAGTTGGTTTTGATTTTGTCTTTGAACCAGGAAACAGTCTAAGTGGTCTTCTCAGGTACTTTGCAGATGTTCGTTCTGTGACCTTTTGAGCTTCCTCAGTAATAAGCAAGAAGCATATGGAGATAAGGCAGGCAAAGCAGATTTGGAAGAAAACTGTCTGAAAAGTTTCTGACAATATGAAATAAAAAATGACAAGAATAAAAGAAATCCTAGCAGCATTTCAACAATATCACTAGGTATGATTATTTTATTTTATTTTATTTTTTAAAGCATTTAAAAATTGTTGTGTACTTGTGAGGTAGCAGGATAATGTATTATCTATTTTTTCTTGTGTATGAGTTACTGTAGCAGATGCTAACAAATGCCTACTGGAGATAAATACATTAAATAAGAATACCTGGAGAACTAGACCTCAGGAGTTCTGAAAGAGCTAAGGGAGAAGGTCTTCAGTTTGTCAATGTGAATTTTTAAACAAATCTTAGAGTATGCATACAAACTGAAATAGCGGTAGGTAAAAAGAGGAGTATTTGAAAAGGGCAAATAGAACACAGTTTGTCTGATATCAATTCAAAATGAACAGAGAAATTGGTAGTGACTTAACTGATAGAAGAAAGATAAATCAGAACGCAAGAACACTTTTTATCAGCTTTATACAACTTCCTGGTGAAAATAACAGAATACTAAAATATGCTTAGATCTGTATAAACCATTTAATCTGGTAGTGCACTACAGCCTGACTAAAAAATAAAATAAAATAAAAAATCAGTAGAGCATCCAACAAATTTACTAAATACCAACAATCAACTTTCAAGTGATAGACCTTCAGTAAGAGATCATCACTTGGTGATGTCAATTCACAGGTGAAGTTTCTATCAACTGTAAATATGAGAAACATGTTAAATATTACTCAACATTTTCATTTTTGCACTGGAACCATAAATAAAATTATCGCTTAGAAAGCTTCCCAATTACACAAGGACCAGTTGAATGAAAAATAAGATGATGGTAAATTGATTACAGAGTATCATCTGGGAAGCTGGATTCATTCAAATGAAAATTTCACAAAGACAGTAAATACAAAAATATAAATCTACTGAGAAAGTAAGATGGCCAGGTTTTCCCGAATGGTGCTCTGTAATATGGAAGGCAGCGTGATTGGAGAAGTTCTACAGCTCATGATAGACAAGTAGCTCAGCAGTTTCTCTTACAACACTTCGGTAAAAAGGCCTAATGACACATCTTGGCTGCATGAACAGAGTGGTTGTAATTTGAAGCAGGGAATTGATTTTGAATCTGGAAATTTTTAACACTGTTGAACAATGAGAACATCCCTCACAGAGAACTTTGCAGAAATAGCACACAATAATTAATAGTGATTATAAAAACAAGGTGTTTTCAAGGAACTAAAACAAGAACTATTGTATTTTTTCCTGATGTATATCAAAAGATGAACAGGTGAAATAACACCATTAATGTACACAGACTCTTCCACTGTTACTAACTTTCTTGTTTTAAGAAAATTAAGATGCATTTGGAAAACAAAACAAAACAAAAAGGAAGCCTTCTTTTGCTTGTATTGCTACTAACTTGGAAACTTATTATTTAACTGGTTTATTGGTATTTACTTCTTCCTGGTTCATTTTTTAACTTACTTGAATGTATAATTTTTGCTCATTTTTTGATTTCAAACATTTATACAGTGCCCCACTCCCACAGTGGCACATCATTACTTGATGGACTCAGCTCTAAAATGAAACTGTATGAACATGATGGTAACACATGAACCAACACATACCTCATGGCAAAGCAATGCACTTAGAGCACACCAGAAGAAACACATTTTCACAAAATGTCTAAGAGGACCGCGTAACATATTATCACTGGAACTTATAAAGGTATAAAAAGGGTAAGCAGGTTTACAAGTGGAGGAATGGTGGAGGTTAAAAAAAGTAAAGATAAGATGTAGAGTTCAAGAAATTTTTTAACACTCAGCTTCTGGAAACTCTTAGATATACCATGGAAACGTCAAGCCTTGGCTCCCACAATTCAGTGATTTTTTCCTGAAGCATCTGTTATTACAGTTGGGAAAGAACACACTGGTGTTCTAGACAAACCTTTTCTCTGTTGTGGAATGGGATTCCTTACTCTCCTTGTTCACCTTAAACATACATGCTCAAGTTGAACTCACTCTTCTCAATAATGTGAAGGCACCAGCTGGGCTTCACATTGAGATAGACATCCTAACATTTCATGGAATCACAGAATCATTAAGGTTGGAAAAGCCCTCCAAGATCTCCTGGTCCAACCATCCCCCTACCACCAATATCACCCACTAAACCATGTCCCTAAGCACCACGTCCAACCTTTACTTAAACACCCCCAGAGACAGTGATGCCACCACCTCCCTGGGCAACCCGTTCCAATGCCTGACTGCTCTTTCTGAGAAAAAAATTTCTCCTAATATCCAACATGAACTTTAGGTTGAAAATTTATTAGAACATGTAGGGTGCCTGCTGTATAAAGCACACACGTAAAACACAGAATTTGCAGCTTTTCTGTGTCAGGAAAAAATGTTATTCTAAAAATTGTATTATTTAGCATAATTTATTATTTAAATAGCTAAAAACGCTATTTAGTCTATTGCTAATAAAATGAAAACAGACAAGTTGTTTCTACAGTGGAACTAAGTTCACTTACATCAGTATTGCAGGAGCGATACCGCTTCCTTTCTCCAAGACAGTATTTACCTCCACCTGAAGGTCTGGAAAAATATTTTTTATGAGTTAGTGTATGTTTCAGTATAAACATAAGTTCACGAGATATACATTACTAAGGTAAATATTGCTACATAACAAAAGCAAAAGCACATCGAAGTTTTAAGGTGCAATTTTACAGTATTTTCTTTAATATGAATTGTGGTATGGACTCGAACTCCAGCACATAGAAAACAGCACTGGGTATTTTAAAGTCTTCATACATAATATTTATCTTGTTTGCACAGATATCAAACAAGACAGTATAAATGTATTTTGAACATATTAAAAAGGTATTGCTTTCAATTATTTGAATGCTTTGTAAAACCAGAATGAAAGATGTATAAGCAACCTAGATGATATATATATATTTTTAAATCTGCTCATATTACACTTTAAAACGTAACAAAACGATGAAACTGCCTGCTAAATACTGGAGTCAGCAACAAAAAACTGCTTCTTCATGAATCTCATTATGATTTGAATTAAGTAGTACTAAATCTAAAGAAACCGCAGAGCAAGCAGGTTTCTATTAGTGTAATTAGGACACTGGCACTTACATTCCCAGATTGTTCAGGAACATTAGCTATCTCCCACTGAGGTCAAATAACGAATTAATATTGACGTAAGTGGAAGATTAATCAAACATCTGATCTTTGGCTTGTAACAAGAAAGCAAAAAGGAAAAACACTGATTGTTTTATGATAAAGAAGAATTTACGGTTAGCAAAAAAGTAAATTAATAATGTTTTTCACAGTACAGGCATTTGTCCAAGCAGCTCTATCCTAGAAATACTCATCTTAATTAATGAACCAAAGGGAATTTTTTCCAAATGCAAACATGGAAAAAAAAATCACATTCTGGCTACACTGTTAAACATTTAAGATATAATTATCCTTCAACATACCAACTGATGTACATGGAGACAGAAGTAGTAAAAAAAAAAAAAAAAATCTTATAAAATTAATTGTGCTTCAAGCAAATATTTCTCTAATGTTTTTACACAGTGCTGTGAAAAAAAATAATGTGCTTAATTTATTATTCTCTCAGTAACATTGCCTGACATGTAATCTATATAAGTACACATAATTTTTACTTTTGAATCTATTCAATAAGTAGTGGCATTTGCCAGAATTGATTGATTGTAATTGCTAAAGACAAAAAGTGATCAGACTGCCTTAAACAGCAGTAATGTCACATCATGGTGCCTGTCTTGCAAACAACAGTAGAAAGCTGAAATACAGCTTAGCTTGCAAAACTTGGGTACAAGCAACAGGAAACTTCAGTGTACAGAAAGGAGAACATGAAAAAGGAATGACAGAAGTCACAGAACTGATTTTCATGAAAGAAGCTTGATGTTTTCTAGAAAAAGTGTTAAGAACTAGTAATGGGGATGGAAGTAGAGCTTATGAGTCATGACAAGAGCAAAGTATGTAGTCATAAAACTACCCTTTGACAGAGAGCTATACTTGCAATGAGGTAACCCAAACAAAGCAAGCATCAACAGAAAAAAAGCAGTTGTTCACTCAGCAGAAAACAGCAATGGAAATAAGTAAGCATTCCTCCTCTGAGAAGCACTAGACACTGAGAAGAGCACTTACCTGACAGATCTTCTCCGGAACACTGCTCAGGACATTGGGAAGCAGACAGAGGCTACCAGATACATAGAATAGACCAAGCTGTAGTGGAGGAGCTGGCCCCTCTTGAGAGAGAGTAGATGGACCAATAGCGAGTGGTGGCAGGGAGAGAAGTAACTCAATTGTTTTAAGAATCAGTGGGAAGTCACAATTAAGTGTCAAATGTGACAGAATATAAATGTATGCTCAGTAATACTACTAATTACATGTGTGCTTATATGTAAATTGTTGAACACAAAATCTTGGAAATAGTGTTGCTTTTTTAACAAATGACTGGCATTTGTTATATCCTAGACTAGAATGACAGATATGAACAAAGAAGAAATATAAATTATAATTCAAATATATTTTGCACAAAAAGAAGTTTCAGAAATAAAACTGTACTAGTTACTAATAAATATAAATCCAGCAATTTTTACGGTATATAACAGATAAATTAAAAACTGTTTTAAGTATGTCTCATGAGCTTCTCCTGTTAACTGTTTCTGTGTGCAATTTTGAAGACAAACTCTGGCAAACTAGCAAAACATTTTTACAGAAAACATATGAAACCAGTTTTGAATAAATTCCAACTCTGTCTTTTTGTTCGCTCCAGCTTACTTTAGCTACTTACGCTGGACTGTCACAGTGTCTTATAGATGAGGAGACTCCGCCACCGCAGGTCCTGCTGCATTCTCCCCATATTGACCATGGACCCCAACCTCCATCTATGCTCTGGGGCCAAGTGCCAAAAGGTACACACTCTCCCTGATAACACCACTGAAAGATTTCACAGATAAACAAAACAAATAATAATAATAATTAAAAAAAATTAGCTTCCAGGCTGATGTTTATCAGGGCAGAAAAACATAAGTGTCAGGCAATGACCAATTATAGGCATTAGGATTCTCCATACAGATAACAACACTAATATTTTACTTTTTGTAGCCATGTTTAGACATCGGTGAGGGTGTGTGGTGAGAGTGTGTGTGATTTGTTAATTGACTTCACTAAGCCCTGAATTATAAGTCTCTAACACACACCAGAAGTTTAAGCAAGCTTAAAATGAAGACTTTCTTTTTTCCTCATACATCCTCCTGAATGTTTCACATTAAAGGAACCACAAGTTACATTCTTTTCAAACACTATGATCCACTTCTAAGATTAAACAAAATGCCTTCCACTTAGGATTCATGTAGTAGCTTCATTATGCAAAATGAAAAACTCCCCCCATCATATTTTTAAGGTTTTTCCCTGCAAACCCTGAACCTTTGCAATATTGCTACTTACACTGGACATAAAAAATGTCAGACAATTCAAACAAATTGGTATTGTAAAATTAAATTAATAATTTCCTGTATCTGCAACTTTTAAACAATTTGGGAAATAACCCAGGAGCTTACAGTTTGATTCACATTCTGGTGTATCACTGAAAGTCTAGAACAGTTATGTAAATTATTCCTGCCATCACTGTGTTGGGCAACAGAATACAGCATGGCCCCAGGTTTACTGTGTCCTCAACTTGCACATTTCAGTTCCAGAAGGTGAGTATCTGTTGCTTAAACTGCCTTCAAGTCCCATAACAGACACAAAAACCCTTCGTTTCAAGAAAAACAAGGAAACAGATAACTGCTGTATCCAAAATCAGCCTATGAATTTGACAAAATTCACTAAGACATAGACAGAAAACATGGTGAGACAGCCCATAAGCACTATAGTAAGACTGGGTGAGGAGTTTATATTAACTAGTCCAGAAAAAAAAAAAAAAAAGTTTTCTTCTGAGTCCTAAGGCTCACCTAAAGTGTCAGTCCCAGCAATGCTGGGACAAACACAAAAGAGCAAATGCAGGCACTGACAATGCTTTGAATTTCTCTCAATTTTTATGAAAGCAACTGACAAGATAATTTAACCTTCAATCACTATTCAGAAAAAAAATAATAGAAGTTTGATATAAACAAGGATTATGCACAGTGATAATCGACTAAAATTTCATAATAGTTCCTAATTAGAAATTTCATGTTGAATACAAATGTAAGTTGATTGTCAAGCACATCAAAGTTTTTGTGAGTGTAGCTACAGAGAATGAACATTAGAAAAAATATATGTAGCTTATCATCAGCAAATACACCTAGATACAAAGTAGTTTTGCATAAAAAACACATGCTACCATTTAACATTAATAAGTGAAGTCTCTAGCATTATTTCTTTATCATCCTTGTTTCTTATCTCAGCACATTTTTATTCTCCATGACCACTTTTTTCTCTGTATGTGCAGTACCTGAACTTATTTTAAAGCACTGCTGTTACTGTCCAGCACATTTCTATTTATAAAACTCATCCTCTATTATTTGGAGAAACAAAAACCAGCACCCATATGCCTACAAGTGTATAAAGTAGATTATCTTAAACCTCAAGCTCAAAATGCATTGCCTTTCCTACCAAGTCTGGTTGGGTCAGTTTTTGTCATCTCAGCCCAAGTGGTGCTGTGTTTTAGATCTGTGACCAAACAGAATTGGTAACACACCACTCTTAGCTGAACAGTGCCTGCACGGCCTCAAGGCTTTCTCTGTTCTCACTCTGCCCCTCCAGTGAGCAGGCTGCGGGTAGGCAAGAGGCTAGAAGGGGACAGGGCCAGCAAAGCTGACCTGAACTGGCAAAAGGATACCCCATACCCCAGAACATCTTGCTCAACAATAAAACTGGCATCATGCTCAGCAATCACACTGTGGGGGGGAGTCTTTCCAAGCAAGTTGTTGCTTAGAGACTGGCTGCGCATTGGTCTGCTGGTAGGAGGTCGTGAGTGATTGATTGCCTTTGCATCACTTGTGGTTGTTCGTTTTTTCCCTTTTTTATTTTTTTTTTCCCTGCATTTCTTAAACTGCCTCCATCTAGACAGATTAATCTTTCTCAGTTTTGCCTTTGCCTTTCTGATTCTGTCCTCCATCGTGCTGTGGGGAACTAAGAAAGAAACTGGGTGGGGACTTAGCTGTCAGCTGGGGTCAACCCACCACATGCTTCTTAAGGAAAAAAAAACACAGAAGGACATAAGGTTTCATGGAGCTCTTCTGAGCAAAATATAGTTTATCCTCCTTACAGTTGTAAATTTACAACTCAGAGGTTTCTGGTGATACTGAACACCTACTTTCAGCTGGTATAGCTGTATCCATATGGTAGTGTTTTGCAATACCTCTAGTGGTACAATGGATATGGTATGACAGAGAATAAAGTAAATTTATGTGTATTAAGTATGAAGAATTAGAATTTTCTGTTTTTCTTCTCATTATAGTGATAAACTAAGTGATAATTATTTCATTCATTAATTAATTGTGGCACTCTATTACAGAGGCCACAGCAGTACACAAGTAATTATGTAATACTAAAGTCAATGGCTAAAAATTAAAATGCTTCTGAGAGTAAAAACGTATGGTAATAAATTAGATTAATAAATACATTGTAAAAATATTACATGTCAAAATCAAGATTCGTAAATGAAAAACACAATTAAACCCAAACTAATACCATCTATGTACAAACAGGACATGCAAACAAACCTTTGTGGTGTTATGACTGTACATAATATGCAGGTGCATTTCACCTGTTTTATTCTTCCAAACTTGTATAAGATTCCTGTACTCCGCGATGTCCTCTGCCAACCAAACATTTCTTTCTTCCATACTCCCATTTTCCCCTATAAAAACTCCTTCAATGCTGTTTTTCCTCCTCTACTGAAGTTAAATCTGAACACTTACTGTCCACTTTGGTGTATCTTTTTAATTTTCTAATGCATATTTATCTTTCAACAGAGGCAAGTGATGCATAGAATCTCTGTCCAGTTAATTCAAAATGGCCAAAATCTTTTTATTTCTAATGGGACTACAGATTTTTTTTTTCTCTGTGAATTATAACCCCTACAATGAGGTTACGGTCTACTTAGTGAACAGGATATGAAGAAAAAAAGGGGAGATGACAGCTATTTTAGAAGTACAATCCTTTATTAAGGGTTTAGAACTGAAATGTTAATTCTCCTCTCACAATGAAGAAGTAACTTTCAATTAGTTGGGTGAGAAAGACAGTGGTGATGCACTTGGATACATATTAAAGATGCACAAAACTTTAAATTATGTGGGATTCTTCTTATAAAGATCATTAATAATAAAAGAAGGTATGTCGCTGTGGCACATTTGAGAGAACTGTAGGTATTTACAATAATACACTTTTTGAAAACTAACAGAGGAAGTATTTGTGATAGTGAGGAAAAATTATTTATTTTTTCAGAGAAAAAAAAGCTTAATTAAATTTAAGCTTGCCATTTCAACTATAAGGATTATTTTTCAATGAGTATTTCTGCAATTATTTTGCAAGGAAACTTGATGCCCAGTACTAATGTGAATTTAGATTACCACATAATCCAGGTATTTAAATTGTTCTTTCAGCACACTGTTTTCACTTTTTGTACATTTTTCCCTCATTTACTTGCTTGGTATGGGTTTATACAACGATGTTAGAAGAGGTTATTTTTTTATTACTTTAAATTCAAAGACAAAAATAAGTTATGCTATCAGTGTTGTCTTTTTGTTTCATATGCAGTATTTCCTCATTAGAGTCCTTTTAAATCTATCAGTTTTAATCTTCATCTATACTTAAAATGATTACTATAAGATTTGGAAAAAGCATACCTTTTGGAACCCAACCAATACACAAACCCCTTCACCAAAGCATGAACATGTTAAAACTTCAAACAGAACAGATGTACAAGTTCTGTCAGCAGCAAAAAAAAAAAAAAATCCACACCAATATTTTTTCCTGTTTGAGGAAACAGCTGAATAACTTTTATGGAAAACACTCTAAAAACCTTCAGGCTTTGGTAGACATCTACTGTGGAAAATTTCTACTGTGGAAAATTTCAAGCCAAAGAGTTAAAGTTTGGCAGGTTTATATAAGAAGGTCTTATAATAGAGTGTTGGGCAATTTTAATTGTAGAAATCCCTCCTAACTCTGCCAATAAAGCACACTGCATCAAAATTAGCTTTCAGTTAATAGTTACACAGAATTTACATCAGTATAACTAAAAGCAGAAATTGACCCTCCAAATATGATAGAGTACTCTGTGATTTTGTTAGGCTTTTAGAGCAGGGAATGTCATTTATTACATATTTGGACAGAGCCCAGCAAAATAGAGCCTAATTTGGTTGTGGCCTTTAAGCATGACTGCTATATAAATGTTATAATAATAATAATAATAATAAAGTGTTACAGAATTGTAAACTATTATTTTCTCCTTAGCATGTGGTGAAGAGAACTACATGTTTGGAAAGAACTGTGTTTTCTGTTTTGGCTTTTTCCTATCGCAAATTACTAATTTACAGGAACCTTTGAAGTTGGAAATTTATAGTTGCAGTTCTCCACTGTTTAAAGGCATGAACAGTTTAGCTTTGTAAAATACTAATTCTCAGATTTCTCTCCGAAATCTAACAAGGGAAGAAGATACTGATGACTGGAGATTTTTTGCAAAGAATAAATTGATAAAAGACTCTTGGCAAAAGCACACAGTGTCTTAAAGCATCTTGACTTGTTCAATTTGTATTTTTCAAACCATTTAAACTACAGTGAAGTAAATTGCTCCTTGTCATTGACAAGAAGTGGTGGTTCCAAAATAAACCTAGACTGTTGATCTAAGAATAAAGCTCCTAGCATTTTCTATTACTCTAATAAAAGGTAATATTTTTGGTAAAATGTGAAGGTGTCTCTATTTTCATTGGCTAACTGTAAGCACTATATATTTTTTTTAACGACCCCTTCAATGAATTTATTTAACATGGTTTACCAATATTTCCAAACTCAGCATGGAAAAGCCATCAGAATGGCACTAGGTCACGGGCCCTGAATGAAGCCATCAGCAGGGATTAATAAACTGTGACAGCTGCCCAATAGCTTTCATTCTATTAAAAAATCATATTGCAATTCAAAATGTGGCATAATCTTTGTTGGAATCAGCCCAGCTAACATGGCAAAAATCAGAACAGAGAATAGATGACAGTAGTCACTGTTACAAAAAAAAATCCAGTTTGGAGTAGTAAATCTTAACGACAGCAACACTCAAAGAGATAATGGAAATTGTTTAATACAATAACTTTTCATTGTTTTCTAAAAACTTGCATAAAAATTATCATATTTTTGTGGAAATAGGAACATGATATTACTTTTTTCTAGCGCACATCCTGTAAATTAATGATTAAAATATTTTTGATCTTCTCTAAGATCTGTACAGATTTTCCTTTACAACTGAGAAACACTCTCTTACTATTCTTAATCTAAAACTTATTTTCAGAACCTTGTCTGAAATTATTGATGAAAAATCAAAATTCACATGTTCAGACAAATACAGTAGCACTAGGCTTATCTATTGCAACACTGAGTTCTCATACTTCTGTTACACAAGAGAGTTTATCAGACTGCATACCAAAGTTCTTTAAAGCTACACAGTTATGCAAGTATAACAATATTAAGGATGATCAAAGGGGATGGAGCACCTCTCTTGTGAAGATGGGTTGAGGGAGTTGGGGTTGCTCAGCCTGGAGAAGAGAAGGCTCCAGGAGACCTTAAAGAGGCCTTCCAGGAACGCAGTGACAGGACAAGGGGGAATGGCTTTAAACTACAAGAGGGGAAAGTTAGATTAGATGTAAGGAAGAAAATATTTACTCAGATGGTGGCGAGGCCCTGGAACAGCTTGCCCAGAGAACCTGTGGATGCCCCATCCCTGTGGGTATTTCAAGGCCAGGCTGGATGGGGCTTTGGGCAACCTGGTCTACTGGGAGGTGTCCCTGCCCATGGCCAGGGTTGGAGTTGAGTGATCTTTAAGGTCCCTTCCAACCCAAACCATTCTGTGATTCTATGATTCTGTAATAGTTGAAGTCAAAATAGATTGGTCACTGGGAAATAAGAACATTCAGAAAACCCTTTTAGTAAGGCTTCCCCCCCACCCCTTTTTTTTTTCTTCCTTTTTTCCTATATGCTTGGAATTCACGTAGTGTCTGAAAGAATAGACTTATCTTCTAACAATTTAACAGAAATCAGGCTCTAGAGCTATGACTTACATTTTCAGAGTCCACAACAGACCCAGAGTTGTAACAAACATTTTTGGAAGAGTGCCATAAAATTTAATAATGATTAAACTAACAAGAGTTTTTTTACAGAAATCACTCAGAAAATAAATATAGTGAATGTAATAGGCTTTTTTCAATCCAGGATACAAAATTTTATAGCAAGCATAAATATTAAATTTATATATATATATAAAATAATTGTTAAATAAATTCGGTAGAGCAGTTACATTAGGATACTATTGTATCCTGAATTAATCTCTCTTTATTTGAACACTTATAGCTGCTCATGAGGACTTTAATTTTTTAATTCTTTTTTCCTGTAGTTTCCAAACAGTAAAATACTTATTCAAACAATACATTATTTGTACTCACCCCCTTCTCAATGCTCCCTGTTTGGCAAAGAGTACCTTCAGCTGCTGGAATACTGTTGGTAACACAACGGTTACTTTTGCTGAGGCACCAGAGCTCTCTACACACTTCCTAGGAAAGAAGGCAGAAGCAAGTTGATCAGAGTAACAGCCTAAAATTGCTTCCAATGCTCATACACATATATAGAGAAATTTGTTTTGAACATACTATAAGTGCTGGGCTGGAGTCTAGATGTTTGTAAAACATGCTGGAGCAACTTCAAAGCCAGCATATTCTACTTAAGAATGTTCTGCCACATAAATTCAGGAAGGATCAAATTGTAGACTACAAAAATGTGTTTTTCTACACCTGCTATGCAAGCATTGTTTTGTGCTGGTTTTCTGATTACTGTTTGATATATTTTAGTATTGTTGTAAAATTAATCTGTTGTAAAGGATGTGCTGTAGTATCTCCATCATTAACATTATCTGCCTCAAAAATTCATGGTAAAAGGATACTGTTAACTTCGAAATATGAATCAGCAAGATTTGTTTCCTTCAGGTTAAACCAAAAGGTTTCGGAGCTTAGACTACCTGCAATCCTCTTCTGTAACACATGCTAAAACAGTGCACTCGTATGTACATATTAAAATATTTCCTTAAAACATTTTAGATTTGTGGCATTTTATAAATGATTTAGCCTATCATAATTCCCTCCATTGTCAGCATTAAAAAGGTTTTCAAGTTTCCTACAAGTTTTCTCATTTGTTTTTGTGCATTTACTAATTTAAATTAAGTCAAAATCTGTTGACATTAGAGATTCAGTATTAAAAATATCTAGGGTTGAAATTCATAATGAGAGGTGTGATCCACTTCAGTTGTCCTTGGCTTAGACTATATATGCAGAATGGAATTAGAAATAATTTGTTTTTATGGTAACTGCCCTGCATGATAATCTTTGTTGTATTATTTTGAGATCTGTGTGAGACTTCACAACCTGCTTTCTATTAAATACTTTCTGTTTTAAAGTAGTTTTGAAAATTTGAAAGATAATTCTCTAATCTTTAAATAACCGTATGATAGGCATTTTATTAAATGTCTGCTTGAAATCATATCCAAAAATAATTCTTGTATAGATTCTATGACTGAATCTTGGTACAAAGAGGAAAAAGGAAAAGACAGTATGAGCAAATTAAAGTTATTAGCTACCCCCCACACCCTTGCAAATTAAGTGTTTATCTGAGGAAATGAATGCGTATCTGGCATCTAGGCATCTTTTCTATGCACTTCAACTAGACAACTGTTATGTTATTCCCTAAGATTCAGCTTCTTGCATGAAACTTATGATGAATAGAAATGCTTCTTTCTAAATTCTACTGAATATAGAAATGGACTTACACATTATTACCTAGTAACTGCAGTAAGTTCAACAGTACAAATTTTTACTGAATAATACAAAATTATTTACCAAGTTTAAAAACAGCTGGTGCCATTCAGGACAGATATATGCTGTGTATTTAGTTTCACGATTGGTAGAAGCAAGCCATCTTTTTAAAAATCTATAAAAAAACATACCATCTTGGCATGGTCTGAAATGATGAGGAATAAGTAGTGTTGATTTGTGGAGTTTCCACTCAATATTTGACAATTTGGCCTAAGCTATTTAGTTATATTAAATGATGTAACAATTCCTGTTTGGTGGGTGGCTCTATGAAAACTCAAGAGAACGGATACTTGTGAGTCTTTTTTAGGAGAAATACACAGGTAAATGGATACCTGCTACAAAAGTAAGAACTACCTTACTTTCCAAATCAGAATTTATTTTTCATTAAAGAAATGAAAACAGTAGAAATATTTACTTACATAAATCTCTGAATAAAACACTTGCTTTTGCTACTCGGTAAGATTTTCAGATTAAGATATGCATCCACAGGTACATATGGTTTAAAAGATCAAATAGAACAGGGAAAGCACAGAAAATATCACAAAGACTTTTGAACACTCTCTTATAAATTTTATAACTATGAGTTTATTTTTAAAATTCAACACTACATCAAAACCACATCTTCAATCAAGAATCTCAACTTCAATCCAGTATGGATTTCAAAGTGAAAACCTAAAACAAGTTCCTTTCAGACACAATATGAGGTGCTTCTTTCATACAACTGCCTTACTTACTTTCGTGCCTCATTTACTTGCTTGTCTGTTTCATGTATGACTTACATTGTCAGACTGTAAATAGAAGTGTCAGACAGTGATGATCCTAGTTAAGATCCTACGTTTATTTTACATCAGATCAAATTCAAATGTTTAAATTAATATCTGTGTTACTTTTGCAAAGATTGGACCAATGTTTGGAAAATCAAAAATTCAAGTGCATTAGGAAATGAAGATTTCAACCAATCTAATACAGACAGAAGAAAAAGTAAAATCCCTGTAACACTCTGGATTTTGAACACATTTACATTTCAGAGTGATTTGAATCCAGAATTCTGGTTTATGCTTCAGATTTTACTTGCAGAATTTCACTTCTGATATCCTTATACAAATGCACCATCTATATGTTAACACAGAAGGGGATGAAATAATTAAAACATGTATTTCATTGCCAGGCTAACATACTCACAAAGGACAGCATTTAACAATTTCTCCCAGACATTGTAATTCCAAGCAAATAATCAGCTGAACTGTATGAACTAATGGATACAGCTATTTTAGTTATTCATCATTTACAGAATAATTTTAAGCAAGTTAGCTCATCTCCCTACTCCATGACAAATGAGAAAAAAATATTTTCCTTCTTCCAAAATTGTTTTGGGAGATAAGATAAAAAAAACTATCAAAACTAGATACTATTACTGACATAGCCTATTTGTCCTTCTTCAGATCTTAATTTTAGTACCAATTTTTCTCAGTAAACATCTGATGACAAAATGAAAGTAATCCTGTATAACACTATTAGTACTTAAGCTAAAACCTCTATTCAGATCAGAAAAGAGTTCTGTCCAAGGACAGACATACGATATCCCAAGATCAACAGAAAACTTATGGAAAACTATGCAAAATGCAGACTACTTGTAAACTAATATAACACAATGTAACAATTTGTAGAAATATTCTATAATAAAAAAAAAAAAAAAGAAATTAAAGAATGTGTTTCTGTAATTTCTTCTAAAAGAAGTTTTATAATTTCTTTTAGGAGAAATTACTCATTTATTTACCATTTATATACTGATGATTTAATTTCCCCTAGTGTATTTTGTTTAAAAGAAATAGTAGAATTTGAAGTATATCTTCTATCACCTTCTATCACCTCTTCTATAACTATCATCTATTTGAAGTATATCTTCTATCTCTTCTATCTTGTATGTAAAATAACATTGTCATTTGAAAACAAGATAGCTAAACTAAAATAGCAAAATTCACCTGTGCTATTATTCTATTAAATGGAAGTGGAATTATGCCATCTATTACTAAATGGCTATGTCTTCTTTATTTTCAGGTGATTTCAGGCAGTTGAGAGAGATTCTTATTAAGGTGCACAAAGCTTTCTGTTCACCATACCAACCCTATACCTGGTACTACCTCAGTTTCATAATTATTCATTTGAATTATTTCCTTACTGTCCTATTCATAATATCTCTAAACATCTCTCTGGTTTTTAATAAACCAGGCTGAAAAACATATGAGAAACTGCCCTAACTGCCCTGGAAAAGTCAGGCTCAAAATCACCAGTAGAAAGTCTACTGCTTTTCCTCACACACTAACATGCACACGCACACACACACACACAACACAACATAAGGTGACCCACTAATAGGTTAGCGTTTTCTTTGTTGGTGGACATAGGATGAGGTTAACATACCTTTTGTCAACATTAAATTTGTATGAATAATTTACTGAAGCTAAGAAAAAGAAGCATAATCTGAAAATTAATCAATGATCTCAAAGTCAGTCTTCAAGTGTGTGGATTTAATAACTATTAATTTATAAAGGAAACAAGGGAAAGTGTTTTAGAAGTCCAGGAAACATAAACTGAAGCTGAGGCCTTTCACAAGATCAAGACAAGATAGATGACAACCTGTAACGGTGTATCTTAGGGCTCCATGACTTCAGTTTGGAATTCGGATGCTTGTATTTGCAGTAAATTAAACAAAGCTGAACCCATCTAGAGAAAAAAAACAGCAAATCAAATTATCTTCCTTTTGCCTAAGTGTTATCAATGATGGAGCCTCTTTCTGTTGTGTCATGCAGAGTTACATATAGGCATTTCAAATTATGTAAAATCTAAGCAACCTATAATATATAATAAGAATAAATAGTAACAATACAGCACAATGAAAACTCAGTTGGATGAGTGAAGGTCAACTTGCTGTACTGCTCTGTTCTTAATATTTAACACTAATGAAAGCCTCCAACAAAAGTTAGCAGTTTGGCCCATAATGTTTAAAAAAAAAGATGGGAAATACATTCACAATGCATATTAAACTACGATAATTTGGGGGGTTTCAAATTCACAATGCATATTCAACTCAATAAGCTAGGGTTTCATTTTTTTTCCATAAAGTTTAAAAACGCTAATCAGGATTTTATGTTATGTCAGCATGTTTCATCTATAATATGCTGCACCTCTTGATGAGCATTTGCTAAAATAGAGCATAAAAATAATTTGCTTGAATTGCAATTTACAATTCAGATCTGAAAAGCGTCAGCCTAGAGTATCTCCAGCCTCACTGCTGAAATTCTGATGGCAACACACTTAAAACTAGAAGGCTGATTGTAATTATGGGTGAATTTTGTAATGTTCAACAACAAGTTTAGTTCAGATAAGCACCCAAAAGTTACCATTTTAGTGCTCTCCTACCAAATGCTCATTAAGTGGTGCAGCATGTTACAAATCAAAACATGCTGAAATAATGTGAAATAAAAGCTGTAACTTAAGTCATACATTTGCATTATGTAACCAGCATACATTCCTCAATATTGGGTGCTTATGTGAACCTTATGGAAACTACAGAAGCCTCACAAGGTCAGAGACCTCTAAGTAGCATCTTCCCTTTCAAACCCATGAAAACTATTCCATCTTTATCTAAACCACACTACAGAATCTGGAATCTTGTCATTGCTTCTGCT